TGGATGGTATTGGGAGTTCTGCCGCGATGTGCGTTCGTGAAATTTGGCGGCTGGGATTAATCCGAACAATTCCTCAGAGCACTTCCCATGGTAAATGCGAAAGAAAATGCTAAGAGATGCAACATCTCTTCGCAGTGCCAATGAGTCGAGCCGATCGGAAAGGACTCTGTCGTCGACGATTCGAGCCGCTCTGCGCTGGATGCGGTCAAGTGGAAGAAGCTGGCACTGGGGAGCCCCAGCCCAGAGATGGGAACAGTATTCCATGTGAGGCCGAACCTGCGCCTTGTAAAGTTGCAGGCGTTGAGCCGGCATGAAATACTGTCCCGCTCTGCTGAGCACGCCAAGCTTTTTAGAGGCCAATTTGGCCTTCTCTTCCAAGTGACCACGAAACTGCACGCTACTCGATATGTCGACGCCGAGGATTCCGCTACTGGCTGAGGCAACAAGGGGAGTACCTTGAAACTGAGGAGATACGACAAAGGGGTTCTTTTTAGCGGTAAACGCGCAAACTTGTGTCTTCTGAGGATTAAACTGGACTAGATTTAGTCGCCCCCAATCCGAGACTTTGTCCAGCAAAGACTCGACTTCAGACACAAGTTTGTTCCGGTACTCAGTGACGTTTTCCCGAGAAATATTGGCACGGCCAGTGTATAGAGCATCACCAGTGCTGTCATCCGCATAGCAATGAATGCTACCGGCTTGCAACATTGATATGCAGAAGAAACAGCGTTGGTGATAGCACGCAGCCTTGTGGAACACCAGCGTTAATAGGCTTGTAGTCGGAGCATGCACCGTCTACAACGACCTTGATGCTCCGATCTGCAAGGAAGCTGGTGATCCAATTGCATAATTTCTCGGGAAGCCCATAGGAAGGGAGCTTCGAAAGAAGCGCTTTGTGCCAAACCCGATCGAAGGCCTTCGCAATGTCCAAACTAACGGCCAATGCTTCCCCCTTGGACTCTACTGCCAACGCCCATCTATGAGTTAAGTAGACCAGAAGATCACCAGCTGATCGACCCCGACGAAAACCGTACTGGCGGTCACTAATCAGCTGGTGATCCTCAAGGTACCGCATGAGGTGGCAGTTTACAACGGATTCCATTATTTTGGAGAACAAGGGGGTGATGGCGATAGGCCTGTAGTTGGACGGGTCTGAGCGGTCGCCTTTTTTAGGGATCGGGTGGACAAAAGCTGTCTTCCATGATTTCGGGACTACGCCTAGGGAGTAGGAGTACCGGAAAAGACGCGTTAGAACCGGTGCCAACTCCGGAGCACACGTCCTCAGCACAATTGGGGGGATTCCGTCAGGCCCACTCGACTTGTGGATGTCAAGGGAGAGGAGTGCTCTGCGAACCGAGCGCTGTGAGAACCGCACATCCGGCATGGAGCACTCACACCGCGGGATGGTCGGCGGTGTGTTCCCCCCGTCATCAACAGTCGAGTTGGACGCAAAAAGGGAGCCTAAAAGGTCGGCCTTCTCTTTTGCGTCGTGGGCCAGTGAGTCGTCCTCCCTGTGCAGAGATGGTAGTGATGGCTTACAGAAATTCCCTTGGACAGCCTTGGCGAGAGACCAGAATGCACGGGTTCCCGAAGGAAGGCGAACTAGTTTCTCGCCAATTCTGCGTATGTGCTCTGACTTTGCCTTGGCAATAACTCTTTTGAAGGACCTGGAGGCGAAGTTATATTTCGTTTTGAGAGTGCTGGTGTTTACATCCCGAGTCACCGAAGCCGCAGCCCAGGCTTGATAACACTCCTGCTTACTGCGTAATGCAGTCTTACAGGAGCGACCAAACCAAGGCTGAGATCTGCCTCCGATGGGTACCACAGATGATGGAATAAATAGTTCCATTTCCTGTAGCACCACATCAGTGACAGAGTCAGCAACAGCGCTGGGATCATCCGGCGAGAAGCAAACCCGCCCCCATGGGTAGGAAGCAAAGAAAGACCGCATTCCGTCCCAATCCGCCGACCTGTAATGCCAAACACGGCGGCAACCTGCAGAACGCAACCGCGAGGGGAGCGTGAGTGGCACCACACTCCGGATCAGACAATGGTCCGAAGAGCCAAGAGGGGCATCGACGGAAACCTGATATCCGTCCGGATGAGAGGTCAGCAGAAGGTCCAACAGGGAAGGTGTATGATCCTCAACATCTGGAATCCGCGTAGGCGATGTAACCAGTTGTGTCAGACCATATGCCAAGGCAAAGTCATAAACAGATCTCCCCTCATGATCGGTTAAACGTGAACCGAGCCATTCGGCGTGGTGGGCGTTAAAATCGCCAAGTATCACGATCTCTGCGGATCGCTCGCCGCTCGCCGTCTCGGGATGGTAGTGGACGGCGTTTAGGTTCGAGTGAAGTCCCCTGATGTTGCAGAAATTCACGGATAGCGTGGCAGGGGTCGCCTTGGTCTTGTTGCTCAGTTTGCCCCGAGCAGTTATTGTGTTGAGCGGAATTTTGCCCCCCCCCAGAATACGCGGGGCAGCCTGAGCACCCACGCTCAGGAGTGGAATAGCATGGTCGTGGATGCTCAGCGAGGGATTCTCCAGGGATACTGGTACCCTCCTGGGGTAGTTTATGACGTAATTCCGCTACCATGTTGATGGGGGGGGGGGGGGGGGAATTGGGCCTCCGGTCACCTGCACTCACCAGACGAAACGCGGAAGCAGAGCTTCCACTTCACGCCGGTATTCTGTGAGGTCGTGGTACTAACCCGGCTCGAGCCGGCCCACTACGTGCAACAGCAAAAGCTGCTACAAGGCTCTACCACCGTTTCTAAAAGGATGATGTAGGAGTAATCAAATAGATAAATTTTTTTCATTTTAAAACTTCTGCACTTGGCTCTTTTTAACCTTGCGCCCCTAGGCACGTGCCTAGTTTGCCTTATGGATAATCCGCCACTGCATAGACTGGTGGTTGGCTTGTTATAATATTTTATATGTATATAAGGTTAATATTTATAAATGAAATTTATAACATTATCATTAAATAAAAATCATTTTTTTAAAAGATGAACTATGAACTGCATTATTCTAACTAGATCCTGATGCCAGCATAAAAAAGAGAATGTCATGTTGTTATGTGCATACTTTACCTTTATTAGCTTCTTTCTTTTTGCCGGCCTGCTGAACTCCACCCGCAACAAATCCAATAGGGGCAGAAAAGTCTTTAGGTTTCCGTGATCTCTGCCTGATATTATCTTCATTGTCCTCCTCGTCACTGTCTTTAGCCCAAACACCTGTACGAGATTATTAAATTTTAAACAAAGACCAACAGATAATGGAGAATATTATTATTACTCTGAAAATAATATTCTCCTGCAAAAAAATACCCGTGGTATCTAATGTCGGCCATTAATCTAAGTACAGCCAAAATAACCAAAGGATTGTCTTTATATAGAACAATAAACATTTAAAATACACATAATTTTATAAAACTAATAATAAATAAAATTAATAAAATCATACAGTCTTATAAATATTGATTGAAATTTTAAAGACCAATTTATAATAAAAAAACAAGACTAATAAGAAAAATTATTTGTAGCAATTTAAAATGTTGTTTTAATAATATACTATACTCAGTAGTTGACTGCCTCATTGGTCTAATGTTGTAATTTTGACTGCTGCTCATGTGGTCCTATGTTAAAAGTGAGCATCCATGCTTGCTTATACACTCACACACTATAATCCTGACCTACGTAGTTGTTCAGTCTCTGTTGAGATTTGCCACAGTGACTGAAATGTGGTCTGGGTGGCATTATTATTATTATACTCAGTAGCACAAAAACTCCAAAGCAAGAACCTCAAAGATAAGAAGAACCCTATGTCCAGCAGTAATATAGGCAGTAATATTTTATGTGTGTGAATACTTTACATGTAAACAACCATGACGAGATAGAGCAAACAATAGGCAGTGAAAAGTTGAAATTACTTTGATAAGTCTCATTCTCATATTTGGATAAATATTCTTAGAAATATATTATAACATATGATGATATATATATAGCAATTATGGCTCCATATTGATGATATATTCTATTTATATATTTTCTTACCATATATTTGATGTTCTTTCTTAGCTTTACGGTTTCTGTTAGGGTTGAATTCATTGTCTAAGTCGTAATCGGTTATCTCAAAACGAATTACTTCGTCATCTGACATTTTAATAAATAAGTTTATTTATAACAAATAGAATAATATGAATGTGCATTAAATTTTAGTATAAAAACAAGAATACATAGCAATCAAAGCAGCTAAATCATCATCAGTCTGGATATGAGTCTTTCCCGGTAGAGAGGAAATAATTTTAACATTAACACATTCAAATGAGACCAATATCAAAACGATATCTCTATAATCCTCCAAAGGCTAAATTTCTGATGTTGATAATCAGTATAATACTTCTTCGGCATAATTTGCCTTAAAACTATTAGTAAACAATTTATTTTTTGGTTAGGTTTGAGAAAGACATTTTATTTGTCAATGTCAATTCAGATTAATTTTTTTTATAACAGGCGTTACGCCTCTGGTTTCTAGCCCTTCTGAGCCTGACGTTACAATGTATAATTATCCTTCATAATACACTGCTTCACAATATGTTGATGCATCACATTGTTCAGCCCTTGGGAGATTTTGATGGCAATTTGAGCCAGCAGACAGCTGACAGTGGGCGATGCTACCTGAAAGCTTGTCTCAAACTTGTTTCACCGTTTCCACTAATAGTACACATGCACAGACATTTAATAAACAAAATCGCACCATTTTACAGGAGCAGAAATCCGTCGCCGGTCAAGTTCCCGCCAAAACTCCTAATTCAGATTCAGAGATAGAGTACAGCACAATTTTAATTAAACGTATAAAGACACACAGTTTAAAGACCGCCTCTAGTTGTGAAACGCCTTTGACATCGGGCAATGCCGCCGCTGGCGTAGGTATTTACGTGGTCAGGGTGTATGATAAGGGTTGTCACGAAAATGGAAATAAAATAATTTTGGATATTATAATACTCATTATCATTTATTAACATTATGTAGATACATATAAGTTAAAAATATTTATTGAACATTATCATTTTTATAACTACAAGTAAAAACATATTTCAAGTGTTGCACTGCCAAAACAAAAAAAAATTGTAAAAGTAAAAAATGACTTTCAATAAGTATTATGTACTGTAATTTATATTGAATAAAAATTATTCTATTCTATTCTAAATTGAAATGTTTTCGTGACACTTTCTTTTTATAGATTTCAGTTTTCGATTGTTAAATTTAATTATGTATAATATTCCCATTCGGATAAACAATTTCATGAAAAGAATGAAGGAAACATGTAAGTATGACCGTCATTTCTATTCAACTTTACTTAGCAGATCATATAACTATGTCATAACAGTAACTCACTTGAAAAGGACGGGGGAGCAAGTAGACTATAAAACTGAATGTAGAGTAGACCCAGGGGCATGGCTACCGCCGTATTAACCACCCAGCCTACAGGGGCCTCGAACGTGTGTATATAAGTAAACATTCTAAGGACTTCTAATGGGACAGGAGAGGTTATCAGACTTATCACTATTGTCTATAGAGGCAGAAAATTTAGAATAACTGAAATCGTCTTAAGCTATGTGATATGATATCTATACTAATTCAATAAAGCGAAAGAGTTTTTTTTTTGTTTGTTTAAACACGCTAATCTCTGGAACTCTGTACATGGTAGAGCCATGCTGCAGCTATATTAGTAGTATAGTTGTAGCACGAATGGGTGGGCTCGACCGGGGAAGGACTACGATCTCACAGAATACCAGCGTAAAATATTAGTTTGAAACTGCTGTGTTTCGTATGTTAAGTGTAGAGAACCGTAGACCCATTTTACTGAAAAAGAGGCATTTCCTTCTTAGTCCTCACGGGTAACGACGCATCTGCATTTTGATTCTTTATTGAGGATAAATGTAGATGTCTATGGGTTACAGCAACCACTTACCATCAGGTGGACTGTGTGCTCGTTTGTCACCCTATCCTATAAAAAAACCATCATATTGGCTATCTAGCATTAGGCTACACCTCAAAAATTGATTTCTCAATTTTTTAGTCAGAAGAAAAAGCGCTCTCGAACAGCTTAATCAGCGTGCGCTGGCGTAATGGTTAGTGATACGTGAATGCAATGTTCTACAAAAGTATAGACCATCCTTCCATATTTCAAAAAAAAATATCTCTTATACATAAGCCACAATAAGACATTTTGTGACAAAAATCATTGAAAACTAAAAAGTGATTTATGAGCGTTATTATTAGTCATGGCATATTAATCCTTACGAACGAAAGTTACTAATTCATCAAGAAAATTTTATCGAGATAAACTTTGCTCCTTATAGCATATTATTTGGTCGCGTAGTTTAAGAAATAACGAAAAATTAAAATAATTCAACACTCAGCTCGGCACGAACGACGCACAAGCCTAGCCGACCGATGAGAACCGAGAGAAATTAGCAGTGAACACCGGTAAAGCCCGCCGTATATGCTCACACTCTCACTCGTTCACGATACTGTGCTGATGTTTCACTAATATTGGTCGACATGTATGAGTCCGCATTTGCGGACACGAGTCGTGCAACAGTTCGTCAATGCGAACCAAGGAAGATGGAGGCGTCAGATCTGAAGTTTGGTATTAGTTTATAGACACACACGCCTCTGCTACTCAAAAAATGTGTCTCAGATATCCACTCGCACGACACGCATGTGTACTCTCATGTACATGGCTGCGTCGACACGAGAGCAAATGTGGAGCTCGTATATAACGCTATAAGTTTAATACGCTATACTATGCGAGCATGTGCGGTGGAGCTAAGCGAGGTGTCCACGTGCCATTACATTTACCACTTGCTGGGCGCTGAGGGAAAACATCGTGAGGAAATCTGTATGTCTGAGAAATTAAAAAAATAGTTCGAAGACATGAGAAGTCCGCAAGCACGCATTGAGGCTGGCGGCAGACACTTCCTTGCCAACAAAACCCTTTAAGAAAAGAGAGGAGGGCTGTGACCAGCAGTACGTCCCGTATTAGGTAAGGTCCAAAAGTTTCTGGCCTACCCACATTAGATTAATCAAAGATACAAAACTTCAATGTCATTAAACTACCGGACTTTTTATTGGCTACCCACAAAAAAATCTCTATTCAAAAACAATAACGAGTGAAGTGCTGTACTCAGTTTTATCTCTTTGTGAAGGCCGACAGAAAGAAGTTTTGGATTCAACTGTTACGGGGATAAAACCATGGTTCTTTATCATGATCCTCAAAAAAGGAATCAATGGAATGGCGTCGTCCAAGCTTAATTCGGGCAAAAAAGCAAAGATGACTTAATCTCAGAAAAAGATTATAGCGGGAATCTTTTTGGATTCCGAAGGAATTTTACTGGTGGATTTTAAAGTACGCACCACACCAGTAAGAGGCGATTACTATGCTTCTTTGCTACATCAATTGCGAGATGCTCTTAAAGAAAATCACCGAGAGAAATGATTGTCGGGAGGAGGGCTGTTACTTCATGACAATGCTCCGGTCCACACATTGGATGTGACATTAAGGAATAGGGTTTAACTGAGCTCGACCATCCACAATAAAGCCAAATAAAGACTTGGTCCCTATTATATTATTTATTCTAAAATCGAAATCGGACTCACGCAAAAAAAAAATTAACAGTGATGATGAGGTGAAGTCAGCAGTTTTGTTCACATTTTAAGGGTAAAAATGCAGAAACTATTTTTTAAGTGTATAGAAAAGTTGGTAAAGTGCTGTGAAAAGTGAATGGAAATAAAGGGAGGTTATATCTAGAAATAATTATAGTGCTTTGAGATTTATCCTTCATTTTTTAGTTCAGGCCAGAAACTTTTCGACCTACTATATGGCTATAACTTTAATTTTAAGCGAGGTGTCATGTCGCGCGGCTCAAAAGTGTGATATACGCGGGTAAAACTGCGGGGCACAGCTAGTAATAAATAAGTGCGCCGAACAAAAGGCAAGAAAAGTTTATACATATTTGATTTTAATTGTTTGGCTAGTTTAGTTTCTACGAGTATTCATTGAAAGTATAACTTATAATCAATATATATTTATTTAATTCAATGCGAGCGTTTTTGTTCCTTTTGTGAAAAATCTTTACTCTTTTGGGCCCCCCAATAAATTTTGATACAGGACCCGTTTAAGGCATGCTACGCCACTGAGTAGACCGTGTCAAGTTTACTGTTTGCGTATCTAACTAGTTTACGAACTCTAAGCTAAGGGACTGTTCTATTGAAATAATTATACCAAACTAAGAAACTATTTATAATACTATATACGATGATCGCAGCAGTTACACTATTTACACTAACTATGACTATACTATAGGGAGCACTATTTGGGCACTATTTTGCTTTTCATCTTTCTTTTTATCTAGAGCTCTTCTTTGCCGTGATTAAATCGAATGCTTTTCGGTTGCCAGATACTCATCTAATATTCCCACGGTGGTGGTTGCACAGTTGGTGATCTCCCACGCGGGCTCGCTGCGAGTTTATTGGTTGCGAGCATCGTTCGATTATGTTGTGGTGTGCCGGGCGTGTGGGACATGTGGGGGTGATGGAACGGCGATTCCCTTCGGTGTCTGTAACAACACAAAAATTACTTAAATAAGTACTATAGAACACGCTTGCGCCAACTGTTGTATGGCAAAGGTAGGTGAAGTGCGCTAGCACAAGGTCGAACCGGCCCCTGCCCCGCAAGGCCCCCACCGTTGCTCTGCACAAGTACATTCGATTCCCAACTGTAAGGTCTTTAATCTGTGATATAACGTAGTGATTATAAACTCCTTGAGCACAGCACCCAGCCACGGCAAGCAAATGTGGTAGACCACACAACCTAGTCTAATAATTATTTTATTTGCATAATTATTTACAATATACTGATGCATCACGCACACTGCACATTTTTTAGGAAATTTAAACTAAAGCCTAACCCAGCAGTCATTTGTCGACGTTAAAATTTATTTGAAAGCCATTTACCTCGACGAAATCAATAATCAATGGGGAGCGAAGAACTAAGTGGAGTAAAGGATGGCCCTCCATTAGATGGAAGGACGACCTTAAGACATGCAAGAGGTTGATGGATGCAGCCCCCATAATTTTTAGTACAATATCTACGTATACAGGTCTATGTTCAGCATTGAACTTATTAAGGGCTGTAATGATTATGATGAATGAAAAGTTTTGCCCACCTGTGGATTCCTGTTCCTATATTAAGGTTTGAAATATATTCTGATATATAAAAAGTGATGCAATGGGTCTGGCCACCCAATTTTGTTAACGGTATCAAAAAAATTGTATAAAAAATAACGAATTCAACGGTATTCTTATTTTATTTTCTACCTTTAAAAATGACTGAAATATTGATGAGTTAAGTGGTGTTTTACGGTAAGGGCAACCGCTTTGCTCTGCATCGCGATGTGACGTCACAAATCGACACGTCGAAGCCACCAGTAGTTCTTATTGTTATATTTTTCTTATTCTCTCCATATTTTTTATTTTATTTATTACTCCATATTTTTCTTGCCATGTTATTTATTTATCAGTAATCTTTATTTTCTGTTTTTTTTTATTTCTGTTATATCACACTCCTTGGGAATAAAAGTCCAATATGAGAAGATAAAATCCTGTAGATCAAGTTATAACTTAACGCAAAATTTCATCAAAATCAGTTTAGTATTACACACATTGGATGCTTGTGAGCATTGCATTTTCAAAACAGAAAAGGTACTAACTACCAACATAATACCGCAATCAGTTTATTCAAAAGTAAGTCAAAGTAAAACTAGGACCATATGTTTGCAACCATTGACGAACTACGTGACCAACAAAATTTCTTCACGTGTCACTGGGTACTAAATAACAGTACGAGTTAATTAATACTCACTGCATTAGTAAGTTTAAGTAAGTTTTTTCATTTTATGTCGTTGTAAATCATGTGCAACTTCGTGGTTCGGTCAGTTCATACCTACCTATGTATTACTGCCAAGTTACTAATCAATGGTAAAGCTGTATACTTTTCGTTATCTTTTATTAGTAACATACCTTTAGAGCTTTATTCCATGCATTTCTTATGATAAAAAATCATAATTTTCTGAAAAATACTGCGCAACCATAAAAATATCCACTTTTGGTAGATTAGCTGATTGTCTTTTTTCAAAGCCCGCTGCCATTTTCTTTTTTATACAGCACTACACACCGTGACTATACAAATAAATATAATCATATAAAAGCTAAATGTTCAATAGTTTAGATTATAGATCAAATCAAATTGTTTAAGCCAAAATCGTAATATTTTAAAAACTGGCATCAACATGCGCGCGCAGCGCGTCACCCGATGGTATTGAGGTGAGGTAAACGCCGCCGGGGGAGGGGGGGGGGCGTGTGCCGCTTCCAGTTTTTCGGCTACGTGGGCTAGCAACAGTGTAATGAACACCGCGGCCCGCGGCTTTGTCGACAAGTGTGAGGGTTGCGTGCGAAGCGGTCGGACGCGTGACAAACGCCTCTTATTGATTGTCTTTTCGTGCTTTAAGTGACAAGAGGCCCTTTTGAGTTTTGAAACGCTAAGAATGTGTGACCCGAGAGGAGATCGCTTCGTGTTGGATATAGATTAATTGTGCAGCGGACGGTATTGTAAAAGTCTAGAAAAATAATTGTCGCGCGACGGCCGAGGCTTGTATTGAGTTTGAATAATTATTAACCTAACTTTGATTGACAATTAGTTTGATTCGACGAGTTGCTTTGTGGCATTTTAATGTCGTGCGAAGGAATTTTGCCTTGTTGTGCGGAACGCTGAACTTTGAGACCCAAGAAGAGACCGCGTTCGTTGCCGTGTTTGTAATTTTGTGTTAAGTGAACCCGGAACATTGAATATTGAACTTTGAACGACTGTTCGTTACTTGTGTCGTGTGTCACTTGTTTTAATTTCGATGAACGTTGAATTGGTTGACTTTGAAGTTAATTAAATCTACAATAAAGTTGATAAACAAATATAGTGAAAATGATAGCGGAAGTTTTCAATTGAGGATCGACCACTGGAGGGATCTCACATTTGGAGAGAAGCAGCGCCTGGGGATCTGCGGTCCGACTTTAGCGGGGATGTCAGGTTACACATGTACACACTACTTACATGCACATCACTTACCACCTGACTGGTACCCTGTTGTCAACCCTACCTCCGGAAAACGGTAAGTTGTGCTTGCTTATTTGCAATTAATTTAGAATTATACATAGGCTAGTTGGGCCCCTCCCTTGGTTGCCCGTTGCGACTACCACTCATGGGCCCTGGTACGGTCGACCTTCGTAGGGGCAACTAAGGGCGTGAACACAAATAGTTCATTTGTGATTCACAGTTTACAAAAAGGTCTTATTTAATCACAAATAAAGTTCACTCTGTGATCAGCCTCATGGGCATACAAATGTCAAATATTATTACTAATTCATTGAATACATTATTCATTATAATAGATTAGAATATTAGACTAAATTATTCATCTTATATAATATTGATTACATTGGATTAAATTATTCATATTAGATTAGATTACGAGTATTTATAAATTATTAGTTCAAAATTATTATATAGTCGTTGAGTTTATTATAAGTATTATGTCATCTAATACAGTTTACCGGACATTAACTCTGACATTCGATATAATATGTAGGTAAACGACCATATACTTCCAAGCGCGCGGTTAGTACTGAACTTAGCAAGTACCTACTGCGTGTTCGCTCTGTCAGATTGTGACGTCACGTCATAGAGAACGAGTGGGTAAAAATTTAAAAAATTGCGAAACTTCAAAACGTTATAACTTTCGTATTTCTGCACCAATTTGGATGAAATAAAAAATTAGCTTTAAAGCTATTTTATTGTTAAATTAGAACATGTTGGTGTGACCCATTGTATTTTGAATATTTGTGCAAATAAACTATTAGTGGAAATGACAATAAAAGGTGCTCCGATGGTTATTTGAATCTTATTTTTTTTTTTGCTTAGATGCATTGACGTTCTGACAACCATTATTTTCCACTTGGTTTAAGGTAAGCTGCCGTCAAAATCTCTATCTCTACATAGTAAGTATTAAACAAAGTAGCTTCTTTGCGATCTTTTAAACTACGCAACGGATTTTGATGCGGTTTTCATCAATAGACAGAATGATTCAAGAAGAAGGTTTATATGATGTATAACACATGCATATTATATAATTATTCTGTCCGTGTGTAGGTGACTGAACTCCTCCTAAACGGCTGCACCGATTTTGATGAGATTTTATGTGGGTGATTATGATTAAGGTAATAAGAAAAAGGTTTAGATTCACAATTGGACCCAGTAGGTGGGGTTGTTGTCGAGATCCAGAAATTAACCGTGCGAAGCCGGGGAGGATCGCCGATCGCTAGCCCATCAAAAACTTCCGAATGTGTCGCATCTACATATGTAAAGAATTTTACATATGTAGATGTAAAGGGTTTTGAGAAAAAAAAAATACGCCAAGGCTGTAAGAGCGTAAATCCTTTTGCTTGTAAATATATTTTTTTAAGATAAATAAATTATTGAAGTTTGATTTTGAATTTGACGTTTGACATAATTTTCAATATTTTGACTACATTGATTGTGTTTTGGAAATTATGTTTCATTTAATACGTAGGATATGATAATATTATAAACCAAATTGTGTACCCATTTGTTATTCTGTAATTTCAAAGATATTTGTTATGTATAATATGTAATGATAAGTGAACGAATCTTCAAAATTTAAAATGCTTAGCAGATTTTCTGATGTTCTACAAACCGCTGCGGATGTAGTAAGTTTAAAAATTAATTATTGAGTTATTACTCCCTTAAAATAACAAGTATCAAGATTCGTTAAAATAATCCAAAAATCATAATTTTAGCTAGCGCCGCCAGCGACTAGGTTAGAAGATTTTCAATACCACTGGAAGATGATCATCCACTTTTATCAGAATTACGATGATAATAGTAAGGTGCACATTGAAGATACTAGAATACCTCATCATTTACATCAGATGTTACAGGTATGTATTCCTAAATATAATTTTCGTCGCTTGAACAGTGTTAGTGAAATTAAAAGACATACCTTGCAAAACTGAAAACACAAATGTAGGTCTAATTACTGTTATAAAATATACTTTTAATAAAATGTAAAAGCTGACTTCAAAAAGTATAAAAAAAATATATTCTGAAGTTAGCTCTAGGACAGTGTATAGAAGAATTAAAGCTCCAACTTCAGAATGTGAAATTATTTTATTCTTTTCAGTTTGTTGATAATATCACCTTATACTTTTCATTAAAAGTTGATTTTTTCACTCTTGAGTGGATGATATTGCAATCTCAATGTTGACTTAATTATTACATTATAATGATTAATAGTTACATTTTTTTAAATAAAATAATGGTGAGAAACAAGCACACATTCCACCTGATGGTAAGTGAATGCTGTGGCCGATAGAATCAAAATGAAGATGCCTTGTCACACCTGAAGACTAAGATGGAAAGTCTCATTTCCAGTAAGAAGGGTCTCCAGTTTTCTACACTCACCTTATGAAACTCAGCAGCATTAAGCCTCTATTTTACTGTAGTGTTCTGTGAGAGCGTGGTCCTACCCTAGTCGAGCCGACGCATTCGTGCTACAACCATATTATAGCTGCAGTATGGCTCTACCACATATAGAGTATAATATATTAAAAACTTCATCCCCCTATTTTATCACCCAGTGGGGGTGTACTTTTTCTCCTAATTTATATGGGGCCACCATTGAAGTATAACCTATTTAATAAAGAAAAGTTGTCATAATAGGTTCACAATATTGTAATATACATGCATAAAGTCATACAGCTGAATTGTAAACCTTCCCCCACTTTTTAGGGTTCCGTACCTGAATGGTAACCAACAGGACTCTTATTACTAAGCCTCTGCTGTCTGTCCACCGGTCTTTCAGAGGGCTGTATCTTATGATCCATAATAGATAGACAGTTGAAACGTTCACAGTATGTGTATTTCTGTGGCGGCTATAACAACAAATAATGAAAATAAATACAAAATGTATTTATTTTATTTTTGCTTTTTTTTCTCGATCTTAATAATGGCAACAGTAGATGCTTGAAATGCTCGCAGAGTTTGTATTGCTATATTCGCTACAAGTATTAAATCTTGTGCAATGGTATGGAATTCTTCATGCACAAGTCGGACTCGCACTTGGCCAGGAATTTTTTGAAGTTATCATAGAAAGAATCTTAGTTTGATGTATTTAAATTTTTTTAAATAATATTGGTTTCCCTATTGTGTCCATGAATAGTATTATTTAGTTGTAGTAGCTTAGGGCATAGGCGCTTGCCTGAAAATATCACACAATGTAAACTGAAAAATCAATTACAAACTGAAAAAAAATGTGTTAAATGTGAAGGAAAATATTGTTAGAAAATCTACAATGACATGAAATAAAAAAATCTAGAGCATGTGAAATCTGCCAACATGCATTATTGGGGTATCGGGACATGCAGCATTGGGGCAGTGCAGTAAACTTTTCCATATTTCATAAATGTGGGTCTGGTTTTACAGATAAAGGTATTCAATGAAAAAAATACAACATAAATTGAAAATACAATTGTATGAATGTTATACTTTCATTGTTTTACTTTTATATTCAGGTTATAATTTAGTTGATGGATAACTTTTATACCGTGTAGTGGTAGTGTATGAATATCCAATACCAAGGGTGTCGTAAGAGACGACAAAGGGAAACTGAAACACGAGATGAGCAGCAATGACAAGTTTCCGATAACAACTCAAAATTATAAAATCTTATATGTGAACATGTAAGAATTTTGTGCATATATGTACTTTGAACAAGTTGTGACGGTGGATATAATTTATTAATTACAATTTTGATAATGTTATCTCATTGTTGTAAAAACAATTTTCAACACACAGTTAAATGCATATAACATTCAGTAAGAGGTCACTTACAAACATTTGAGTTGATTGCATAGATCAAGGCTATGCACAAACAATGTAATTATTGCTATATCGTCCATAATTAAATAGAATTTTAACAAATACACCAAAAATGTTCTCCATTTTTATTCACCAAGTTCAAAAAATGAGGAGGTTCATCGATATCACGGAAATGGGTGAACCAATTTAAATGATTCTATAAATAGGCTATATTTAAAAGGTGGTCCTATAAAATTGAAAAATATCTGTCCATAAGCATGCATTTTATACAACAATCTGGTGGTTACCATGAAAGTTTTCTCATCCTACCCAAGACTCGAACAAATTACGGTAACACAATGTTAACATTTCAAGGAGCGCAACTTTATAACAATTTACCCGCACACAAATGAAAAAAAATGTTAGCTCGTTCAACGCATTCAAGAAACAATTGTATGAATATCTTATAGCAAATGGCACACTTTAATAATTGTGAATGCATTGCGTGGGTGAAGTTTGTGTATTTTTAGTGAACTTAATTTGGTAAATGACTGTGGAATTTACCTTCAGCTATGCACTCATGTAAGTGACATGCATTTGTCTTAATGAGTAATAAAGATCTTTAAACCTAACTTGTGATATTTCTTAGATCATAAGATAAAAGTACAAACTAGCTTTAATATTTCTATGTATTATGTCTTAGCACTGACTTCAGAGGCTATTATGTAGAAATAATTTACTTATTTTCAGTTTTTAAAATCAGTTTTTACTTTTTATTAAAAGGTAAATTTTCAATCAATCTAAACTACCTACTCGATAAATTCAAACTACCGGTTTATATTTATAGAGTGGTTTACATTGCTCTGCTCTACATCATTTTAATCTAAAAACTTAACAAATTATATTCCAAATTTGTAATATTGCTTAATATACAAGCAAATTGCTAAGCTATAAACCAACTTTCAGCTCATAGTAGAGGAGGAAAAGGAGCAGCAAGGTGGTACAGTAGGTCCTTGTTTGGAAGCTATAGTGCAAAGGTCAGTTTGTTTGTTGGACGCCTTAACGGCTCTTGCGGCCGCTGATAGGCCTCCAGGGGCGAGGTCCCTGGCACTGACCACTGGAACTGCACTTTTAAGGCGAACGCGTCAACCATGCGTCAACAGCGCACATGTATATAGGCCTTTGCAGGTACTTTTCTTTCTGAGTTATTTTATTTTAAATTTGCTGCTTTTAAAATTAAAATGACAAAAAAGATCATTCTGCCCGTTTCAGTAGATGGCACAAAGAGCTTGATTTCTTAGTTACATCCACATGTGTCACTATCATTATCTAAAATGTGTAAACACCATAGATCGTGCAATCCTGCTAACTTACCTATGTACCACATTCCTAAATATAATAACATGATATTATAGTAAGAGCACCTGGGAATACATGTAACCAGCAATCTTAAATAATTTGCCAAATGAACTATGTAGTTTAAATAAATGTAGAGTTAACGCAAAATTGTAAATATTTAGTAAAATTGTTTTTTTCCACATTTGTCTACTGCTTAACTTAAAGCTTTCATCCAGTTGTCTCATATTGGTGCATTAATGTTTATTTATGTGACTTCTGCTGCTATCAATATAATATATAGTCAAACTAGCTCGCCAGGCAGACATTGTTCTGCCCTCTCCGACGACCTTTTGTCCTATAAAAAATCCTTAAATTCGTATTAAAAATATTGAAGATTATTTATCGGAATAAAAACTATCCTACCTCTCAAGTTGGACCAAACTGAACACAGTGTGCAAAATTTTATTGAAATCAGTTCAGTAGTTTTGGAGTCCATCATGGACAAACAATGTGACACGTAATTTTTATATATAAAGATTTACAATATTTTTAATCTAAATTAGCCTTAAGAGCTTCACCCATGGTATAGTTGATTTTTCATAATTGCTATGCTTGGATTGGAGCAAATTGATGGTTGGATTTGTATTACCAGATTTATTGAATTTTCGACGCTGTGTTCCATTACTGTTGGGTTATATTTTATTATAAGCATCACCGTTAATTGGTGTTTTATATATTTATGGAAATAAAATTGATATGTAAATTTTTGTAAAACTAAAATTTCCAAGAATAAACAAACTAGCATGTCTCCATTAGGGACTTAGTATGTAATACATAGTATTTAATAGTATCTTATGTAACGTACACACCAAAACTCAAATAAATAAATAAATAGATGGATTTTTTTATGGCGAAAAGAATTACACAATAATTAAAATGCATTTTCCTCTAAAACTCCTTCACAATCAGACTATTACACTTACTAATTTTGTTATTTTTACAGAGAATGTTAATACAGTGCAATGAAAATCCAGCCTCGCCCACAGAAAAGGAGGAAGTTGAACTCCTCCTAACTCTATGCGGTCTGGTTAGGAAAGAGCCTGGTCTTGCCAATATATTCACTACACCGTTCGTAGAAGAAAAATCTAGTCTGTTAAGCATACCTGAGGATATACAGCGGCTAATACCGTTAAAAAGCAAAGTCCAAACTCCAAAGAAGAATCCCCTATTCGAGGTGGAAATGGCACCAAATCCAATGAGAAACATTTCTTTAGTCCGGACTAACTCGAAGGAAGATAATGGAGCTATCACAACGTCAAATAGCTCAGTTGCAGATGACAATGTATCTTGTAAAAGTCAGAAAACTGTGTATGAAGACAATGATAAATTCTTATTGATTGATTTGTTACTGTCTTACTTAAATAGTGCTGTGAGTATGTTTTTGTCACTTTTTGTAATTTGTCAGTCCCACAAACACTTGTTCTTTGCGGCATTCGAACCTGCTTATCTGCAGCGTCGTAGCACAGTGGTAAAGTTTAACCACTGGGCGGTAGCAATTATTAGATTATCCATCTTATGAGGCTAGTTATGGTGGAGGTGTATCTTTAGATGTGGACTTTTGATAAGTTTTTGTAAGTAGATAAATCGTGGTTGACAACCACGCAGTTTGTTGCAGTTATCATTTGGAAGTTACTGCTACGATCTTCTGTTTCAAGTAACCTCTGTCATCTTACGACACTCACGGGATGTTATAGGATACAGCAATGTCTATAACGGGTCGTACTTTTGGTTTGAGGGAGGTAAGCCTCTTTTCAATACAGGCCATTAAAATCCTTGCTAATAATGGAAATTTATTCTGTTTATAAACATCGTCATCATTACAGCTCTTCACAAGTCCACTGCTGAACATAGGCCTCCTCCAAAGAATGCACAAAACACGATCTTGAGCCACTTGAATCCTCAGACACCAACCTTCGATTTCCTACATCTCTTGCTAGGTTGTTCATCTCCAGGGTCTCCATCTAGTGCGGGGCCGTTCTACACTTCACTTACCGGTACGATTTCTAAACATATATTATTATGTTTCACAGTTTGAATATTTCTATAGTGAGCTTGTTAAACAACTCTTATCAAAACATTATTTTTCGGTCTTATCTTGGTTAAGTCACTAATCAAATGTTACATTAACGGAAATAAATTTTGTGTTAAATTATGTTACAACACAATTCAAAAAATAAATCAAAGTCTAGTTTTCGATGATAGATAAATGCAAAATACCCTGAGTAACAACAGGGACCAGTCATAAAAGAGTTTGAATTCTGGATTTCTTTTTTCTCTTTTGAAATTCCTCTAATTCATTCTCATTTGAATTTTTTTCTGAAAAAAAAATCAAATGTTGCAATTGTAGTAAATTTTGCCTACTATTCAAGTCCAGCTGTGGGCTGATGAAGAAAGAAGGAATATTTTATAGTGATTTTTTATATTTGGCCTTTGTATATAGTTATCAGTTCAATAACTTGTCAACTCAAGTTGAATGACAAGTTCAACTTCAGGGTACTTTTGAGGTACAATGATTTATTTTTGTGGATTTATCAAATATTCATAAAGTTTTATACTTTAACAATTTAAAATCGGCTTAAATTTCATAGTATGTGAACAACCGTTACTAGGTGATAGGTAGGAATGAGCGCTAAGAGTCCGCCTGTTAGATATCACCCTCTGTTTGGACTGATTTGGCTTGCGTTGTCGCCAATAGTTGGCGTTGGGCGTTATTTGTGTCGCGATGTTGTTTGATACACACGGTTTACTTAAGGACTGTGGGATTGTTGGCATTGTGGGTTCCTTAACGTAATCCAGCCCAATCCTTGGGGTTGGAAACAGATTTAACATGGTCCTTCGAGCAGGATCCGAACTAGCGACCTATGGATGACCATGATCTATTTTTGCTGTCAATCAGCACTGCGAGAAACCGAGAACGAGAACTCCTGTGTATCGGCTTGATGGGTATAAAAGTCAGTATTAGGGATGATCGATGTTGCAGAAACATCGATGTTGGCATCGACAGCTCAACATCGATTTTCTATATTTAGCCTACTCAAAACAACGATGTTGACCATTATCGATGTTTTTTGTGTCATATTGTTTCAAAATTATGTGAGTATACATACACAGCAAGGGAAAAAGTAACAATTAACTTGAATATCAATAACATCATCATCATCATCATCATTACAGCCCTTCACAAGTCCACTGCTGAACATAGGCCTCCCCCAAAGAATGCCACAAAACACGGTCCTGAGCCACCTGCATCCATCGACTTCCTGCATGTCTTACCAGGTCGTCACTCCATCTCGTGGGGGGACGCCCTACACTTCGCCTACCGGTACGAGGCTGCCACTCGAGAACCTTTCTTCCCCATCGGTTGTCGGTTCTTCGAGCTATATGGCCGGCCCACTGCCACTTCAGCTTACTAATCCGTTGGGCTATGTCGGTCACTCTGGTTCTACTGCGGATATCCTCATTCCTAAGTTTATCACGCAGAGAAACTCCGAGCATAGCCCTCTCCATAGCTCGTTGAGCGACCTTGAGCTTCCTCATACGGCCAGCAGTGAAGGACCACGTCTCAGTTCCGTAAGTCATCACTGGCAACACGCACTGGTTGTACAATTTCGTTTTAAGGTTTTGAGGTATGTCTGACGAGAAGATGTGTCGTAGCTTCCCGAACGCTGCCCAGCCGAGTTGAATCCGTCGATTGACCTCTCGGTCGAAGTTGGACTTACCCAGTCGGACTATTTGTCCCAGGTAAACATACTCGTCAACAACTTCGAGCTTAGTGCTCCCAACAACTACCGGCATAGGTGTGACATGGACATTAAACATGATCTTAGTTTTGTCCATGTTCATCTTAAGACCTATCCGTTGGGAAACACTATTGAGGTCATTGAGCATAGTACTTAGGTCCTCCAGCGATTCTGCCATAAGGACTATATCGTCGGCAAATCGAAGGTGAGTGATGTACTCGCCATTGATGTTGATACCGTATCCTTTCCAGTCCAGAAGCTTGAAAACGTCTTCCAATGCAGCGGCGAAGAGTTTCGGGGATATGACGTCACCCTGTCTTACACCTCTCTGCAATTGGATAGGTTTCGTACTCTGGTTCTGTACTCGGATAGCCATCGTAGCCCTACTGTACAAGCACTTCAACACTTCGATATACCGACAGTCAACTTGGCACCGCTGAAGGGACTGCAGCACCGCCCAAATTTCGACGGAATCAAAGGCTTTCTCATAGTCCACATACGCCAGACATAGTGGCAAATTGTACTCTTCGGACTTCTGTACAACTTGCCGAAGGGTATGTATGTGGTCTATGGTGCTAAAGCCCTTTCGGAAACCGGCTTGTTCGGGAGGCTGGAAGTCGTCAAGTTTGCGCGCGAGACGATTCGTAATGACTCTCGAAAACAGCACGTAGACGCGGCTCAGAAGGGAAATCGGTCTGTAGTTCTTCAAGAGAGCGTTGTCACCTTTCTTGAAGAACAAGACCACCGCACTTCTGCTCCACGCCTCCGGTGTAATGCCACCATGGAGGACGGAATTAAAGAGCTTCTGAAGGACTTCAAGTACCGGTCTTCCACCCGCTTTCAGAAGCTCCATCAATAACATAATAAACAATATTTTAATATATACTTTACTTTACTTTACTTTACTTATCTTCACGCACAATCCCTGACGGGGTAGCCAGAGAGAACAGATCGCCAAGTGTCACGATCCTTACATATCTCTTTTGCTTCTTTCAGATTCATTATCTTCTTCATACATGCACGTCTAGGTATCCGAGTACTCTTGACCCTACCCTCTTCGAGCAATTTGCTCACATGGTCTTCGAAAGTTAGTCTCGGTCTACCTCGACACCTTTTAATATTAACTTTCGCGCTATATATTTTCTTCACCATTCGGTCTTCACTCATTCGCTCAACGTGCCCAAACCACCGAAGCACGCCCTTATCAATTTTTGTGATAAGGTCATCTTTCAAACCTGCCATATTGCGAATCTCTTCGTTTCGCTTTCGGTCGGCCATAGTAACGCCGCACATTTTACGAAGAGATCGCATCTCCACTGCATTCAACTTACTTTTATGCTTCTTCTGGCATACCCAGGTTTCGCTGCCATATAACAAAGTCGGTACCAACACTGCGTTATGTATTGCAAGGCGTGCACTCTTCGCTACGCCTTGCCTTTTGACTAACGCAGTCAGGGCACCATTGACTTTGTTCCCGGCAGCGACACGGGAACAAAGTCAATTTAATATATACAATATTAAATAATAAAAAAAAACTAATACTAGTAGCTTAATTATCATACAGTTCTACTCCCCGCGGTATCGTGCCAAGAACGCTGGCTGCGTTTCCCCGCTGAATGGCTATACTTAGCCTTTGAGCGAGAAAAGAACCAGCCCTCTTAGCAACAGCAGCAACGACCAGCCGCGTATGGAGTTCCTTTAGGAACTTCACCGCACGTGGACCCCACGGACCGATAGTCTCTACAGCAAATGGCACAAATATGTAGTCATATTTGCGCTACTTACTTATTTATCAATTTACGTAGAATAGTTATTATGCGACAACAAAAAAATAACAGCGATAAAAGACAACGACTCTACAAAATAAAGCGAAAGCAGTGATCACTGTGACATTACAGGTGACACTGGGCAATTAAGTTTGACACACCATAATGATATTTTTTTAGGATAGCGATGCGTTCAGGAATTCTGAATTATTCAAAAATTTAAAATCTTCAGAGGAGATGCAAGATTTAGTTGATATTGATTTCGCGCGTTCGCATTGTTTGCAAGTTCCCAATAATCGATTATGGGTTCATTGACATCGATGTTGATGTTTGACCTGTGTCAACATCAATGATAAAATATCGATGTTTTCATTTTTAACATCGATGATCATCGAACATCCCTAGTCAGTATATCTACATGCTGACTGAGGCATTCCATCTTCGTCTCAGAGTTGACAACGCATCTGTAAAATATAAATATTCTTTGTTTAACGTTGCTTGGACTATGGACTGCAGCAGCTATTTATCATCATTAATTAACGCGCGATTGTAGGTACTGATTTACAACCACATGCTATGTAGATAAGGAAAAATGTTCTAAAGAAAACTCTAGGACTGAAGTTTGACAATTTAGAAGTGACGCAGTGACCTATTTCCTCCTCTAAGATCCTGTTTCAGCCCAGTATCGAGACGATTCTATCGATGCTATATCTTTCAGGATAATCAAGTAGTGTTGCGGGCTTGTGAAGGTATAATGATTGTATCATCCCTACCGGAGGACGACATTGCTAATCTTGTGACGAGCTGCAGCCCTGTTTGCGAGACCATTATAGAAAAACTGGCCGAAAAGTATAAGAGTGTTCCTTTAGATGTCGACCCTAACGACGTTGACCATTTGAATATCACATGGGCGTGAGTGTTACGTGTAATTTATTTATTTATTGCGGAAGAGTGTAGAAAGGAAGAAAAGAGAAAAGAGGAACCCACGGTTCAGTCTGTGGTGTCTGTTAAGTTAACTTCTGTCAACTTAGCTGCTTAGCGCCCTAATTTTTCAGTTAAACTATGTTGTAAACTAATTTCGTTGAAGGTCAAAATATTAGTTACTTTGTAGTACATTGCTTATTTTATATACTCGTAGCTTTGCCACAGTCTAACTCCTACTAATAACAGTCGGTCATTAGAAGGCGTCTAGACGCCGCAATCGTGCGGTGGTCGCTCTGGTCGTAGGTCGCTCGGGAACTATCCGCTAGGGTTGTCCTGAGGCGCAAATAAATTACGATGGTTCACACTACATGTGCGATAAAAAACTGTGAGTCGTCCACATTTAAACATTAGGAATTAAAGTTATTATAACCTATTTTTATTATTTCTGAACACTCATTTTCTAATTAAATTACTTAATTTGTTTAAACGTGAAATGAAATAAAAACAGTTTTTTTTTTATTTATTTTTTATATTATCGCTCATAATATCACTCACTATCGCCTAATATAAGAAATTCTGAAACATTATTGGTATTTAAAAAACGTTTTAGAGATATTTTCTTTGCAACTTGTTAGTTAATATATATTATTTTTATGTACGGTATTATTTTATTTTTATTTATAGTATCATTTAATATAATTAACGTATGTTTTTTTGTATATTATTTACAGTAGTATTAGTATTGTACGCACTAAGTTTGCCTTTTTAAATATATTTTCCTTTGTGGGTCTACTGGAAGATATTTCAGTAAATTATGGAATAAGTAAAACCTTTGTACAGACTCACTATAAGACTGTTTCTGTATCTTGTTGTGTGTACATAAATAAATTAAAAACAACTTCCCGTTCCGACGACCCTAACAATTTTTTTTATAGAATAATAGTGACAAGCCATCACTCAGTTCACCTCATGGTAAGTGGATATTGTGGTAGATGTCTATCTACATTTATCTTCGATTAATAATTAAAATAAAGATCACCTCCGAGGACTAAGATGAAATGCCTCGTTTCCAGTAAAAAGGGTCTCCGGTTCTCTACACCCACCATACGAAACACAGCAGCGTTAAGCTGCTATTTTACGCTGGTATTCTGTGAGAGCGTGGTCCTTCCCCGGTTGAGCCGACCCATTCGTGCTACAACCATAATATAGTTGTAGCATGGCTCTACTACGTATTTTTTATGCAACTTATTGTTTATGTCGGCTTTTCCGACAACATCGAACGCGATGACTGACTATATGTTCTTAGGCTGTGGCTTTACTATAACAGCTGCCACAGCTCATAAAACGTACGACGCAATGTGCTGCAAAGTGATTATTATTTTTGTGTCAACAATATTGTCGATTAGGCCTGCAGGTTTGGTTAGCCGCTATACGCATTAGTGTTTTTAGACTTCAATTTACAAAATGTCTTTAATGTTGTACAATGTAACAAACATAAAAAAAAGTTATAATTAATTTTTATTTGACACTATCTGGTACCCAGCGCATTGCAGTCGGAAAATAAATAATTGTGGAAATATCGTTTTAAATTTCGAAGTCACATTGTTTAAAAGAATAAGAAAAAAATGAAGTTGAATGATATATTATATCCTTCGTTTCATATGCTCGCCACCTAGTGTGAGTTATTTGTACTATGTCTAAAATCTTCACGCAAGTGCAACCAATACGTTGACAAATCTTAACGCAATCTGACGAACGGTATGGCTGCGCATAAATGTTTTATATATTAGATGACAAATCTTCATTCATCCAATGTTTGTTACAATAAAACTGAAATGTTAATTTATATAATAATAACATAAATTTAGACGACAATCAGTTAACCTAATTTATTGTTCATCTAGGTATGTTGCACAGGATTTTGGCGACAAAGGCTACAATAGATTTCACGGCTACCGGGAGCTCACTAGTTTCTTCTCCTGGCTGGACTACTGTGATACGTTGATGAAGGTCAGACTGATGGTTGTACATTTAATTTAATGAAAATGAAGCCCTTAATTTTCATACATGGAGACATTTTTTCCACGGTAGGATCTAGTTGCAGCTATATTAAGGCTATAGCACGAATGGGTCTGTTTTTTTTTATAGGAGAGGGGGCAAACAACCATACGACTCACCTGATGGTGACTACCATCGCCCATGAACAACTGCAACACCATAGGAATTGCAGGTGCGTTGCCGGCTTTTTAGAAAGGAGTAAGCTCTTTTCTTGAAGGTCCCTAAGTCGGCCCTGAAAAATTGCTGGTGGTAAACTCTTCCACAAAAAGGTCGTAAAAGAAAGAAAACTCCTAGTCAAACGTATAGTGGTGGAGCGCCAAGCATCCAGATGTTGTGGATGGCATTGGGATATTGCCGCGATGTGCGTTCGTGAAATTTGGAGACTGGGATTAATTCATCACTCCCCGTGGTAGATGCGAAAGAAAATGCAAAGGGATGCAATATCTCTTCGCAGCGACAATTAATGGAGCTGATCGGAAAGGACTCGGTCGTCGACGATTCGAACCGCTCTGCGCTGGATGCGGGGAAGTGGAAGGAGCTGGCACTAGGGAGGCTCCAGCCCAGAGATGGGAACAGTATTCCATGTGAGGCCGAACCTGCGCCTTGTAAAGTTGCAGGCGGTGTACCGTCATGAAATACTGTCCCGTTCTGCTGAGCACGAAAAGCTTTTTAGAGGCCGATTTCGCCTTCTCTTCAAAGTGACCACAAAAATGCACAGCGACGCCGAGGATTCCGAAAAGGCTGAGGCAACACGAGGAGTGCCTTGAAACTGAGGAGATAAGACAAAGGGGGATTTGTAGCCGTAAACGCGCAAACTTGTGTCTTCTGAGATTCTGATTCTGATTAAACTGGACTACCCCAATCTGAGACTTAGTTAAGCAAAGACTAGACTTCAGACTTAGGTTTGTTCTGGTACTCGGCGAGGTTCTGCCGAAAAATATGGCACGGCGGTGTATAGAGCATCACCTGATACATATGTTTATGATATGCAGAAGAATCAGCGTTGGTGATGACACGCAGCTTTGTGGAATACCAGCGTTAATATGCTTGTAGTCGAAGCAAGCACCGTCTACAACGATCTTGATGCTCCGATCTGCAAGAAAGCTGGTGATCCAATTGCACAATTTCTCGACAGGCGAAACCCGATCGAAGGCCTTCGCAATGTCCAAACTAACGGCCAATGCCTCCCCCTTGGACTCTATTTCCTCCGCTCATCTATAAGTCAGGTAGAGCAGAAGATCACCAGCTCATCGACCCCGACGAAAACCGTTTTGGCGGTCACTAATCAGCTGGTGATCCTCAAGGTACCGCGTGAGCTGGCAGCTTATAATGTATTAAAATAATGTATACTATGTATGAGGTGTGGCGATAGGCCTGTAGTTAGAGGGGTCTGAGCGGTTGCCTTTTTTAAGGATCGGGTGGATGAAAGCCCTCTTCCATGATTCCGGGACTACGCCTAGGGAGTAGGTGTACCGGAAAAGACGAGTTAGAATCGGTGCCAAGACTAGAGCACACGTCCTCAGCACAATTGAGGTGATTCTGTCAGGCCCACTCGACTTGTGGATGTCCAAGGAGAGGAGTGCTTTGCGAACCGAGCGCTGTGAGAACCGCACATCCGGCATGGAGCACTCACACCGCGGAATGGTCGGCGGTGTTTTCCCCCCGTCATCAAGAGTCGAGTTGGACGCAAAAAGGGAGCCTAAAAGGTCGGCTTTCTCCTTTGCGACATGGGTCAGTGAGTCGTCCTCCCTGTGCAAAGATGGAAGAGATGGCTGACAGAAGTTCCCTTGGATAGCCTTCGTAAGAGACCAGAATGCACGGGATCCCGAAGGCTAACTGCTTTGTCGCCAAATCTGCCTATGTGCTCTGCTTTACCTTGGCAAAGACTCTTTTGAAGGACCTGGAGGCGGAATTATACATCTTTTTAAAGGCGCTGGTGTTTACATCCCGGGACGTTGATACGTCAGCCCAGGCCCGGTAGCACTCCTGCTTGTAGCGTGATGCTATTTTACAAGAGCGACTAAACCATGGCTGAAATCTGCCTCCGATGGGCACCATCGAGGAAGGAATAAAAAGTTCCATACCCTGAAATACCACATCAGCGACAGAATTAGCAACAACGTTGGGATCATCCGGCGAGACGCAAACCTGCCCCCAAGGGTAGGATGCGAAGAAAAACCGCATGCTATCCCAATCGGCCGACCTATAGTGCCAAACACGGCGGCAACCTGCAGAACGCAACCGCGAGGGGAGCGTGAGTGGCACCACACTCCGGATCAGACAATGGTCCGAAGAGCTAAGAGGGGCATCGACGGAAACCTGATATCCGTCCGGTTGAGAGGTCAGCAGAAGATTCAACAGGGAAGATGTATGATCTTTCACATCTGGAATCTGCATAGGCAAAGTAACCAGTTGTGTCAGACCATATGCCAAGGCAAAATCATGAACAGATCTCCCCGCATGATCGGTTAAACGCGAACCGAGCTATTCGGTGTGGTGGGCGATAAAATCGCCGAGGATCACAATCTCTGCGGATGGGATCTGCTATAGCAAGGGATCTGTAGCCATTTGGACGTGGTCGATGAGTCGGTTTGTTTCGGCATTACCGCTATGGGACTTACACCGTAAACACACCCGTAAACGCGTGGATGGTCGCCGCTTTCTACGCGTAGGCAAAGGATGGACAGGTCCGAACCTTCAAGACTGCCGAGGCGTCGAGAACAGATGTCCTCTCTGACTACTTCTCTCTTCGCCGTCTCGAGATAGTGGTGTGTGGCGTTTAGGTTCGAGTGAAGTCCGCTGATGTTGCAGAAATTCACGGATAGCGTAGCAGGGGTCGACTTGGTCCCCCTCCCCCCCTTTAATGTAAGGTAGCCCTGGGGTAAACTTCATTAAAGGGGGGGGAGGGGGAATTGGGTCCCCGGCCACCTACGCCCACCAGATAAAACGCCTAAGCGGTGCTTTCACTTCACGCCGGTATTCTGTGAGGTCGTGGTACCACCACGGCGTGTGCCGGCATAAGCCGGTATAACGTGCAACAGCAACAGCTGCGGCGTGGCTCTACCACTTTGCTTGGACGGGGAAGGACCACGCTCTCACAGAATACCAGCGCAAAATAGCAGCTTAATGCTGCTGTCTTTCGTATAGTGAGTTTAGAGAACTGGAGACCATTTCTACTGGAAACAAGGCAATTGCATCCTAGTCGTCAGGGATGACAATGCATTTTGATTTATTAATCGAGGATATATGTACATGTCTATAGGCATCCACTAATTATCAGGTGAATTGTGTGGTCATTTGTCACCCTTATTCTATAAAAAAAAATGAAATATGGAGTGATTTGTTTCATGTTTATAGCGACGACGTTTGCTTGGTAAAGTGCTTATTATATTGATATAGCTTATGATTAAAAGTTTCTTTTCTTTAACTTTAAACTAAGGTATCTGTGTCCAGGAATGTCACCCAGCGATCGCGTCGCATCTCTCCAGAACATTCAGAGCGCAGTTCCTGGAAGCGGCTGGCGAGCTAGCACTAGGAAGCGCCCGTAGTGCCACCTTGGCCGCCGCGTTACTTGCGAAATGTCTCAGAGTTGTCGACTCTCAGGAGCTCATAAACGGTTAGTGACACGTTTTTAATTTAAAACATTTTTACGTAGTAGAGCCACGCTGCAGCTATGTGTACAGTAGGTGCGCAAGTTAAGTGCAGATCTTAGGAATGCACTAGTGTTGTGATCTAATTGGTAATTAACCTTTTGACCGCTTTCATTTGACATATTGACATATTTCCGTGTCCCTACCGCTCGTATGGTATTTCTGCGACAGAGAACATGCATGATTTTTTCGTTCTATTTTCGTCTTATTAACTGCGTGGTACAAATAAAACCATTATTAAATAGAGATATTATTCACAACAATTACTTGAAATTATGTCTCGTAGCTCAATACTTATTGAAAAAGCAACAAATATAAGTAATTGAGAGCTTGTACTTTTCGTCGGTGTCTATCGCGCGCGTCGCATAAATATGACCATAGGGATGGGATACAATGCAATGCGCATTTTGAAAACAAAATAACAAACAGCTAAATAATCAAGTATAATGCATCATTCAGCATTATTTTATAAACAATGTCATACGAAATAAAGTTTATTAAACATAAAAATATCCCTCGGGCTCTTTGTATAATGACAACATTTGACGTTAGTTCCCATCACTAGACGCCTATGTTTTCAACACAATTTCTCTAGTTAGTCTAGCGCGGCTGTCGCATTAATACGACCACTGCCTACGTCACAAGCGGATCAAACGAATGGAAATTTCCATTAATGTTGTTAGTGGGTATTTGTGCATTGTCGATAAAATAGTCACATTTCAATAATGAGGACTGCTGAGGAATTAATAAGAATATTAGAAGATTCATAGGTACTTATACAAATATGAGTTCAACACATCTAAATGAAAAGTGCGCTCGTGAATTGCAACAACTAGTTGTTGCAATTCACGAGCGCTTATACCGATTTATTATAAGTGTGTAAATCATTGCATTTGAACTAATAGATACTGAGGAATAAGTGTAAATTAATGTAACTAATTAGCAAAAAAAACAATTGTGATTCAAAGATTCATTCTAGGTTGATTTATAAGAAAAGTATAAAATAACTAGTCGATTAATAAGAAATTATTGCGATATAATTTTCATTTAAAATAAAAAAACTTTGACTATTTTAATGTATACCACGATTGCTCCTCCTTATTTATTGTAGGTATTACTCTATTATTTTATCGATTTGTAGCCACGCGCTAGGGGCATGTAGCCAAGCCCAAGCCACGCGCTTAAAAGGTTAATTAGTGATATGTCGATAAACTGCAAATTAAATCAGAAATATTTTAAATCTTAATGTGTGTGTTATATATTCCACTGTTCACGCCCAAACGCTGGTTTCGGGATTTGAATTGGGGTGTGAATTGTGTGCATGTTTGTAACCACGTAAGGTACGTTGGGGTAAGATCGGTGATGGGGCAAGCCCGTAGGATTCAAATTCCCGGCGAATTATGCTATATTTTGAAAAGCTAACAATATGCTACACGACGCCATTTCATCTTGTCCCGACCCTCAGTTCGCGCCAGTCACTCCGGCAAGTGGGACCTGTGCTGCGTGGCATTTTATAAAACAATGTAATTTTTGTATTATTTTTGTCCATCCGATCTTTCCCTATCAATTTTATTTACGATTTTTAGCAAGAATATGGCTTCTTTTGTTATTATTTTGTGTGAATACTAAGTTTTATGAAGTTATATCTAGATAAAGCTGGTCCATGCAGAGCTAAGATCGCTGTAGGCCGAGATCCGATGTTACCCCGCGTGAGTGAAGATCGGATGAATATTATCCGATCTTTGCCCGTTACAAATATGGCAGTGGTCGTTAAACTTTCATTGGTCGTATATATTTTTTCGTTGATTACTCAAGTGACTATGGGACTCAGTCTCGTTAGCAGGTCTGTATATTTAAAAGTAATAAAACAATACGATGATTTTATTACTTTTAAGTACACATTAAAATACATTTTTTTTATAGGATAAGGGTGACAAAGGAGCACACAGTCCACCTGATGTTAAGTGATTGCTGCGGCCCATAGACATCTATATCTATCCTCTATTACAAATCAAAATGTAATTTATAATAATTATTTAAAAAATAATTTATAATAATAAATGCCGCTTTGTTAAAATATTTATATCTTCCTTAACTCCTGCATTATCCCAGGGCATTTCGCCAGTCCTAACTGTTATTTTTTTTTCCCATATAAAATCAAATGCATCCGATCTTTCTCTTATATTGAGTAATTCCATCTTATGTCATAACAAAGTTTGAGAAACATAAAATTACAATTTCTTTATATCAGGGATAAGATCGGATGGCAAGAAACAAAAAAAGAGAAAATCGTTTGGAACATTTATGTTTCTAGTAATTTATAGATCATATTGAAATATGTTTTTGAGCGTTAAAGATAGGACAAATCTCTTTTATAAACTTTTTTCTCTAAGCAGTAGAAGTGGTTTTAAATTTAAGTCCGGTCTTACCCCTTAATGGCCAATTTTTCATTATGCATATAAAAAAGTATGTCTGTGTATAAGTAGTTTTCGCACACCTTTAAAGCAGAAACCGTTGAGTTTACACAAGCAAAAGATTCTCAGAGCTAAACTACGTTTAACGATTAACGGTTTGCTCCATGTTCCATAAATCTGACGTATACGAATGTCGAGAAATTAAAGTTTTTGGCAGACTCTTCCAACTATTCGAAAATCCGTCCGGTATTACCCCAACGTACCTTACGTATCCTCGTAACTACAAAACAGTTATGATAAAATTTAAAATATTGAATAAAACACAATAATAATTATCAAAGTATTATTTATTTTTAAATAGAGAAACATAATCAGTGTTTAACCATCAGCATTCATCAGATTTTATAATTTAAAATGATTTTTTTTTTACAACCGACTTCAATATAAATTATTAAGAATAACTTAAAAACTATTGGCCAGACCTTGATCAAATTTATATGGGACCACATGAGAAGCACCAGCTTTCAAATAAAAAAAGAATCATCGAAATCGGTTCACCTAGTAAAGAGTTATGACGTAACCACACATAAAAAACATACAGTCGAATTGAGTACCGGCTCCTTTTTGAAGTCTGTAGAAAATAAAAGACATGTCAGAATCGTCATAATCACTATCCTGTCCTTCGCTGATATCTATCACAAATGAATGGATAGTTTCTTCCATTAGGCCATCTCTTTGCCAATAATTCTGTTCTAAGCTTATAATCGTCAAAACCGCGCCAATTTTCCTCAGTGATCTAAGTGCTAGCTCTGTAATATCTTTAAGTTTTTTTAAAGTTAAATCTGAATTGACATTGTCTAGCAACTCTTTTCATTTTAGCCCAAGCCAACTCAATCAGGTTGAGATCACACATATAAGGTGGTAATCTAACTACGGCATGGCTATAGCTTCTTAGGATTGTTTTTTTTTTAAAAAACGTTACCCCCACAGTAGGACTTTCTCCTGTGTCGTGGAGGCAGTTTACAAACATAAATCGCACGAGGACAAACATCCAGACCCGGAACAGTTATTTGTAGGCCATACAAATACTTGTTCCGTGCGGGATTCGAACCCGCGGCCCCCAGCGCAACAACTCATTGCTAAACCACTGCGTTTTTTTTTTTTTTTTTTTTTATAGGATAAGGGTGACAAACGAGCTCACAGTCCACCTGATGGTAAGTGGTTGCTGCGGCCCATAGACATCTACATTTATCCTCGTTTGCGAATCAAAATGCAGATGCGTTGCCACCCGTGAGGACTAAGATGGAATGCCTCATTTCCAGTAAAAAGGGCCTCCGGCCACCTGCACTCACCGAGCGAAACGCAGAGGTAAACCTCTACTTCACGCTGGTATTCTGTGAGGTCGTGGTACCACCCACCCCGGTTTGAGCCGGCCCATCCGTGCGACAGCAAAAGCTGCCGCGTGGCTCTACCACGGATTTGATCTACTTTAAACGTCTTTTTTCTAGGCTTATGCAAATCAATCAAACGAAAGAGATGAGGTTCTTTCGTTTGATTTTCGCATTGTCAGAGACGCGCGCACATTTGCACCTGTAGCTCGCCACTTCGCCCGCGTGAAATTTACTACGATAATCATGGGTTGTAATTTTTTGCGCGGAACCTTAATTCTTTTTCGAAAATAAAATTATCCTAAGTTACTCCTTATTACATCAGCTACTTGTCAGTGAAAGTCCCGTCAAAATCGGTCCAGCCGTTCCGGAGATTAGCCGGAACAAATAGACAGACAGACAGACAAAAATTTTAAATATTATTTTCTTGTTATTAGTAGCGTAAATACTTTCATATGCATATAGTAAAAAGCTGTTATTTTAACATTACAAACTGACACTTCAATTTTATTTATTTGTATAGATTCCAACATTACAGGTTTGGTGCAGGACTTAGTTGGGACTTTATTTTCTTGTACACTGTGATACGCTGCATTATCCATTTTGATAACGCTGTTTGGTGGTAGATTAGGAATAAGCTTTCAGGGACCCACTCTTCAAAGTTCACACTATTCATTTGGCCGTGATAATCTCCTGATGGAGTACCAGGTTTAAATACCAGGTTTAAAAAGCAGCTTAGCATTATTTAAAAAACCTCTGCGCGATCCTGCGTGTACAAGAATGAGTCTGTTTGTAGAACTGGTATCCGTCAACACCACATCAATCTTATCATTTCTCCAGCATTTTTTAACAGTTAAATTATTATCAACCCACGTTTCATCCAAAAAGAATATATTTCGATTTTCTTGTCCATATTGACGGATTTTTCGCATATACAGGGTATTTTTGGAACGCTCCCGAAAACTAAGACAGGCGACAGCACCAAGTATACCTTTGATCATGGGTCACAAATAAATTCGATCCTGATGAAAAAAAAATCATCTTTTAATAACGTTTTATTAGCTTTATTCACGCGCCATCATGTTAGTACAGCTAAATGAAACGATAATTTCATAAAAAATATCATGAAAATACTGAAACATAAAACCAGCAGTGGAATGACTG